GTCCTTGATGGTGTATATGACTGTCCCAGAGTTCACGATGCAAATTCAGGTCACCCGCGATAATCTCTTCGGGCCCAAGCGACAAACGATATTGATAAATGCGGATTATTGACCAATTGCTGTGGGAGGGTTGTAGAGATTCGCCACGCAAATGCTGCGACAGCCCGGCGGAAATACACGGACAGCAATGGTCTCCAGGAGGTCAGTGCCAGGGAGCGACAGGCGCTCGCACGGTAGAGAGTGGCGCACCAGAACGGCAGCGCCACCACCGCGCCCAGTGAGGCCTGGAGGCAGTCATTATGGCCAGATAATTTCGTCGCCACGTCACCACGGTTACTTATTTCCTGCAGAAGAACGATGTCAGGTGGACGCTGCTCCAATCGCGCCGCAAATGCAATCTTTTTCACGGACGAGAGGCCTGCAATGTTGAGCCGCCAAATATTGATGTGGCCATCCTCCTCGGTGGCAGGGTTCTTGTGAACGTCACCGCCACGGGCGATATCAACGGAGTGACCGCTGCGAAACGGTCGTGCAGTTCTGACCGACAGTCTGCAGGCAGACCGCCTCACCTCCCCGCACCGGGCATGGCGTGGAACCTTCTCGGGGAGTGAAGTCACCTTGGTCTCCGTCGTGCTCGCAGCAACGCCCTGCTGCGGAGTTCCTATACACAACAAAGCCCAACACCGCGACAAGGTGAAACGTCATCGCTGGGGACCGTGGATACTAGCAACGGGTGGCGGTGTCGACGTTCCCACGTCAGCCGGGATTGGCATACTGCTCTCATCCCTGCATTCCTCGAAGATAATAGAGAATGTCAGTACCAAATGCGGTGCACGCCCATGCAGCCGCACGACGGAATCCCGTGCCCTGCTCCCGGCCATGGAAAGGCTGAGTATCCATCGTGTCCAGCACAGGCAAAAACCCTGCTTGTGGTTACGGACAGTCAGTCCCTTCTAGTCGCCGTCACCAAGGGCCCGCACAGTCATACCGACTGGACGGAGGATCGGATCTAGCAGCGTCTCTTGTCGCTGACGTGTGCTGGCTGGTCTGTGCAGCCGCATTTTGCTACGGACATTGCGGAGTACATGTTAACGAGCCTGCAGATCAGCATGCGACGCAGAACACGGCAACCGGGCAACACACGGAGCATGGAATAGCACCCATACGGCACACGGACCTGCTGTCATGCATTAACACCCAGCTCACCAACAAGTGGCGTAGTACCATGCATCAGGACACCCACCACTACCTGCTTGGCGGCGCCAGGCCATCAGATCCAGGCGGCAAGCACCTGATCACTCAGGAAGCCCTCGACTGACAGGAACGGATACACACTGCACGGGAAGGGTGCGGGGAATCCGAGCTCTGGGGTCGCCTGTACTGGACTGTGAGAGACTGCACGAACCAACGCCGTTTCCGCAACATATCACCGGAACAGTCCGCATATATGCGCCCTAACAACGATCCCACCGCACCGGGACGGAAGCTGTTCCCCCGACGACAAGGGAGGCCGACGCACCGCCTGTGGAGAGACGGCCCTCCACACACCGTCGAAAGAAGAAATGCCCGCACTGTGACGCCACACTGGTGGGACACACGAACCACATCGGCCACTGTCGGTGCTTTCATCCGGAACGCCCTCCACCGCTTCCCGACCTCCACCGCGATTGCTGCGACACAGTCCTCCCCACACAAAAAAAGGCACCGCACAGCACAGAAATCGCTGCGCACACAACCCAGACGCTACTCGGCACCGCAGCAGCAGTGCCAGGCGGCGATCTCTGCTGCCGCAGGATCAGCCAGCTTCCACAAGCGCAACAATTAGCCCGCAGAAAACACCGCACCATCTGCTTCCGGAATGTACAGACGCTCTGGCTGTGCGCCAACGGCTGGGCATTGAACAGGACCTCCACCTCGGAAAGCTTCTTCCAACGGCAGCTGCCTCGTGGCAGGAAACTCATGTCGCTGCTCGACCACCTCCTCGGCACCCTGATGACATCGTGTGGCTAGACGTGCCGGTAAGGAAAAAAAAACTTACGAGGTGGCAGACTTTTGGGGCCCTCCAGCCACACACGACCCCGCCGTAAAGGTGGAAATCAAAAAAGGGGGGGTTGAGTGGGTGGAAAGGTGCAGAACAAAAATAAATAAATTATCCAGCTGCTATCGGTTCCCTGCTGCTCTCCCAAATAAAGTCGTGTTCTTCCCAAGAATTCATAAGATGGAAAAAAGTATCATAACGAAATGCATTAGTGTTATCGGCATATATGTATATTACCTCAGTTAACCAGCTCTCCCCGCGATCATTCTCTTCACACGCTCCTAATAAAGCCGTAAAAAAATATATATATATTTTGTTTATTCGTCCGGCTATTTCTCTGTCTGTGATAAACACGAGGCGGACCTCCTCCCCTCCCCGTAAAAGAGAACAGAAAAATGAAAATAGTTCATAAACCACATTATAACTGCCGGGCCCTCGTTGTGAACCCAGTAAATAACAGCATTTGGCGTCCCGCAACCGCCAGACTCCCAGTTATGCAGGGCGGTAGTGCGTGGATAGGACTCCGGTAAAAAAAAAAAAAAAAAAACTGCGTCCGCTACGTTCCAAAGTGTCCCCGTGGGAAAAAACAAACAAACAAATAAAAAACAAAGAATACAGGCCGGTCACTCATTGATGTGGCCTCATCCGGGAGCACGTTCCTTCCACAACTTCCTATTAACAGTAATTAACAATTGGAATATTCTGCCATTCGTCTCCGCCCCACACGTGTGGCGACAATGCGGGACACATGGAGAGAATTTCATGGACTTCTCTCTGGGAAACTCGGCGGCCCATCACCACAGCTCAAACAGGCACCACCACCACTGCGGCAATGGCAGCAAGGACGGTCAAAATGAAGTGCCCCAAAGCGGCTGTTGCTCTGGCATCACTGCCATCTGTGGGAATGAGTAAAACACGACTGCTGCCGTTGGCGGCTATGGTGCACACTTCCTCGTACTTGGGACAAATTATTTTGCCGCCTCCCCTGAAGTACCTCGATTTGGGTGTGATGGATTGACCCGCGGGACAAGACTCAAAACTTTTGCCGCCAAGGTACTTCACAAACACTCCATCATGACGGCATAAAACCCGCGCGCACACCGCAACGACGTTGGCTTGCCATTTGCCACCAACAGCCGTCTTTGCCTCGAGCGAGTCCCCATCGAGGCACCACGACCCAATCCCCAGGAGGGATCCGGGCGGGTTGCCGCTTCCT